CCCCCCCCCAGTGAATCCTTTTGCTATCATACCTAGCTTTTGGCATGATAGCATCACACTCTTCAACGTCAGAAAGAAAAGCAGACTGTAGATGCCAGAAGTTTAAGTAAAAGATCGTAGGGCCTGCGACTTTGACTTACTTTTCCAAGCCCCCTGGAAAACTATACTCAATAAGCAAGAAAACGGATCATTATGAAAATGACCAAATAATGTCAGTTAAGTGTAATTTCTTTTAAGTATCTCACCTTTTTAAATAGCCACTTCAACAAAGACCACATGCTAGCTTGTATAAACACATAATTAAAAGGCAACCAAATTTTGGTGGGGTGTATGCAAGGGATTTTTATTTTTTACATGACTGCATTCAGTGTTTCAGGAAATGGGGTCCTACTGTGCTGAAATTGTTGTGTGTAGGATAAAATGTAACTTGTGGGAAAATTGCTGAGAACATGCAAAGAAGAAATAAGGCTATCAATGCTCCATCTAGTAGAAACAAAAACAAGCATGTGTACTTTTAAATATATATTCTCAGAGACCGTCAGCAGAAAACTATCCTTTGTTAACTCACTTTGTTTTTGCACCATTAAAAAAAGCGTTTTTTAATCATACATGAAAACCCCAGGGCCACATCTCTGCTTCTGAGTATGAGAAAGATGTCAAATTTTATGTTACCATTTTCCCCACAGAAGTCACCCACATGGCAGAGGTCAGAGACTCGTCTCATGTTTGGAATGGACCAAATCGCGACTGCTGCTGCCAGTATAGATTTTAAACAGTTGCTATGTGGGCTCTGAGCCCTTACAGTAAATTGTCTTCAAACCGGTCTCCCTCACCACACTGTAGATAAGCTTGGATCCTGGACACCATCCCAGTGATACGTGAGCACATGTGTGTGTACATTGGCACAGTCTTCCATGTTCCACAGACCAGCGGGCCACTTTCAATAGGCTTCTCACCTCCTTCCACTCAAGGTCATGAACACGTGCGCCGGCAGCAATAAACACACTTCACCGTGCATCTCTGAAAATTACCCTTCTGGTCTTCTTCCAGTCCAGGTCAGAGGCAGGAAGTGAGCCGAGAGAAAATGAGGAAGCAGCAGCAGCGCGCTCTTGCTGCAGGTAGTGACCCTGAACCCTGACCTCTAACCTCACCTTGAATCACTCTGACAAAACACAGACGTGCAGCTCCTAATAACCTTAAAGTATATATTTTTTTAAAATTCAGAAATGTTTAAGATGTTAAAACACATTAGTAATATTAACTGAGCATTGAAATAAATTTAAAATAAAAACAGAAAGCTGCTTTATAATTTATCTCTTTATTTTTGGACAACAATAATAACAGCATGTTGCTTTTGTTCACTTTTTTACATTTACAGAAGTGGTGGACTCATGGACTTTGTTCCTTAATCAAACTATTGGACAATGTTTGAGGTACAGCTGCAAAAAAAGAAATGACTGTTCAGGCATGAACCCTGTCCAAATCCAGCATCCTTAATGCTCGTGTTTGCAGCTGAGAAATTCAAACCTTAGAACTATCTTAGAAGTATCAACAGTCACAAGAAGCCTAGCTGTTTTTGGACAGAGCCCATGGCTTTGGAGGGTGACTGATTTTCCAGAGCTGCCTCACCAGTTCCAGAAGAATAACCTGCTGCCATGTTTGGCAGGCTCCAGTTTGCCCTCGATGGTTTGGTTGGGCTCTGGACGAGGTCTAGAGTGGTAGGGGTTCTCTGGCAGGGGCCGCGAGGTTGCCACTTTGGTGACCTAAGGAAGAAAAGCAACACACAAACCATAAGTTCTCAGACATACACAGTATAAAGACACTGAAGACTCACTCAAATATTAATTGACACACTGATGTCAAACATGGCAGTTATTAGGAAACAATATAGCACATGCTCTGTGCCAATCTCTGACAAGAGATTATGCTTAAACTGCATAATAGGTCCATGCTAAAATGAAACCATACAAAAGCTGTCAACAGCTGAAGCCCTGAACATTTCCTTAGCCTTTCACTGGGCCTTCCATCTCATCCCTTGTCATGATTTATATCCCTGCACCTCTTTGTTTCCCCCAAAATCATCCAGACTGTCCCCTGCTTTGTCCCACCTTCACACCATTTGCCTCCTAACCTTTCTTACAAAAAACAGTTTGCTAATTTAAGTTCCAAAATCAGTAACAAAAATGGAATCTGTTTTAAATATATAAGCAGCCAGAAACTCGGTCCAGATCCACATTAAACAAGAACATTTTTCACAGTTTTACAAAGTCACATTTTTGTTCTTTTCTTTGCTGGCTCACATGTTTGAGTCGGTGCACAATATCTCTGTCTAACAAATGAAAGACAGCCAGAAAGTTGATTACAACCATTCAAACGCTCCCAGGTTTTTGGGTTGTTTTTTTTTTTTTTTTCTTTTGCAGAAGTCCTTTTAAAAGACTACATAAATAAATGTCTAATAATCTATTGTTGGCATCGCTTTTTGGCTCCGTTTTGATTGCTGATACCTAAATTAGTGATTGCCAGTGTTATACAAGCCCCTTAAAAATGTTGGTTTTATGGAAAGAGGAAAAAAACAAAGCAGCATAAAACTATTTGCCTGCTCAAAACTGTAGCTGAATGAGACTGCATAAGATGCAATCATACATACCCCACAATCAACATGAATAGAGCCCATCAACCGAGCTACAGTACTCACACTGCAAATGCACAAGTTAATCCCTCACCAGCCTCACCTTAGACAGATCTCCCAAGTCAGGTCTCTCCCATCCCAGTTTCTCAAGGACGCAGCTGTCGAAAGCGTGCTGCTGTTTACGGCAGTGACGGAGTTCTGCCAAGTTTGAGTAATCCAGGCAGGTCCAGTACTCCGTGAAGGACTCGGCACAGTTCCCCTTGATTTGCCTAAAAGGCACAGTGCAGACAGACACACATCATAACATGCAGAAGCAGGATTCATTTTCATACAGACTGAATCTGCAACGTATGAAGTGGAAATCTTAAATCTAAAATATAATTAATTTTTATCCATCATCCATTATTTAAACATTAAAACCACAAAGATGAAATTCATAATATTGACTGTATTGTTTAAATGCGATGTTCTCTGGAAAATGATCCCAGCATTCTTGTGACTAGCACTTTGACACACACCACCCATGCACCACCTATGTCGCAGACAGACACCAACACACCCACTGCTAACACCTCCACCCTCCAAAAAGTGAAAGCACTCCCCGACAGCAGTAGCCTCCACCCTGCGGGAAATGTGCCCTGTCAGAGTGCAAAAAACTGCTCGATAAACACAAAAGGCCTAAGCCACTGGCCTGACCTCCAGAGTTCCTAGATCCCAATCTGGGAAGTTTGGAGGAAGCAAACTAAGTCAGATGCACAGAGGCTCCTCTCCACATCCTACAGGACCCAAAAGGATTTACTGCCAACCTACAGGACACCATCCAGAGATCCCATCAATCCAGCGACCACTGAGAGATGTTTTGGTGGGGGATGAGGGGTACCTACACAATATTAGGCAGGTAATTTTGATGTTTTGATGCCCAGTTGTATGATACTGGTGCTGACACCAATCAGCACCAGTATCCCACCAGTCAGTGGGATTTTCAAAAGAATGCATATCATAGGAGTCAATAATTCAAGAATGTAATAGACAGAGCTGCTCAAATTCAAGAAACCAAATGTATTTAAGCCCTCATATCAGCGTATGGTTACCCTGCTTGTGAGCAGTCACTTGTTGATTGAATCTGATTGCTATGGGCTGGTTTTCTATAACAAGAACACCTAAAGGTGGCTGGCAGTTGCCAGAAACACCAGAGAATCAAAACAGGCCCCTGGTGCAATTACAACTTTTCTCAAATCTATCTTCATTATCATAATTGCAGGTTTTTCTCTCACAAAAGCACCTCAGTTACTGCACAGGCGTCACAACATAACCAAAGCTCAGAATAAAACTTTTCAGTAAACACAGACACTGCACTTAAAAGTGAAAAAGGCCAGACCACAAAGTTTTATGGACACAATACGCTTCATGGGTATTTTTCTTATTCATGTTCTAAATCAGCCACTTTTTCTACTAAAGAGAGGGAAAATTACTGGAGTGTTTTCTACATCACACTTAATGAGCTCAAGTTGATGATTTATTCTTATGTTTTTGGGTAATTTAGAGAAGAGGCTAAATAACTCAGAGAACAGAGAAATGAAAATCTGGAACGGATTTTTATAAAGTCAAAATCAATATACTGATCAATAAGTAGAGAGAACATGATAAATAAAAAGCTTTGTGGAAGCAAATAGTGACTCAACAGGACGATACAAATGATGCAGAAGTGCAAGCGGCTGTGTGATTATCACACATTACACAATGGAAAATAACTCTTCAACGTATGCGGCAACAACCCTAAAGTTGAAGTAACTGAAATTTTGATGAAATATCTATTGAGACTCATACTGATCTCATTAAAAAAATGTCACTGCACAAATCAACCAGCAAAATACAACAAGATTTACCCTTAAAGGTTTCTTCCCATAACTTAGTGCACAAGTTGAGCACTCATCTTCCCCCATCTTACATTAGGATGTACTTTGGATAATTGTCATACTGAACCACCGACCTTCTGATCAGTAGATGACCCGCTCTAGTTCCTGAGCCTGGGTGAATCACCCAGTAATGTTTCACATACTTTAAATTAGCCATTGCAAACATTTTAGGCAAAACTGATTTCACAACCGCAGTGCACACAGTCTCAAACCAAATGGTAGCATGGATTTCAGGATGACATACTTTGGATTTTGTCATTAAAATCTTTTTAATTAATTAATTTGTTTAACTGATCTCATGCTGCTCTTTTAGCTGCTTTAATACACTGGCAGCATCTCCTCCCTTTGTGTCTGGAAAACACAAATACATTGTTTGCATATTGATTTTTGTAAACCACTTATCGTCCCTTGGTCCTTGGATAACACCCATATAAATTTTTATGTGATATAAAAAAAATATCATATCACTATATCATTGCTATAGCAACGCCATGAATTTATGTTCCCTAGTGCACAACAACAAGATCAGCATGTCTGTGTCTGAAAGCCAAGCATCAGCCTCCCATGATACCTAAAAGGCAGCTACTTCAACAAACTCCAACAGTTCTTTCCTGTTCCTGCTAAAGGTGGAAACTAACGCATTTCGCCAATTGTGGCAGAAGCACATTGTCAAGTACAACCGTGCTACGAAGGAGGAGATACAAGCAGCTGATGAGGTGCGACTTAAACGTAAACGAATGACTCCACCGAGTGTTGCTGGAACACTCACTAGTTACACTCCATATGGCAGAAAGAGCAAACAGAGGCTGGAGATTACTGATGTGGTTACATGATGGAAAAACAAGCCGCTGGCTAAAAGCTCGATCCAAAGTTCAGAATTTAAAGTTGAAAATATGGTTTTGGTATAGTTTTATTTAAGGGACATGGTTTACTGAGGTAAATTCTCAGCATCAATAAAATGTTCATTCTTGGTCGTATCATTTTATTTTGTTGTATTCATCCACGACACCTTAAAGGCCGGTCCGTAAAAATATTGTCTTACATTAAACCGGTCCATGGTGGAAAAAAGGTTGGGGACCGCTGTATTAGGTGATAGTACCAGGTACAAGGTACTTTTTAGTACCTACTCAATCGAGGTTCAAAGCAATCAGAAAATGTGACGTTGTCAGACTGCATGTCACCGATTGGCTAGTCAGGGGCATCACTTGATAAATAATGAGAGTGTCTCCTTCACAAAAATCAAAACCACCATTTTTGCAACCCAGCAACAAGGGCTACACAGAACTATTACCGTGGTCCTCGATTCTGATGAAAAGCCACTGACTGCACTGCAGGTATAACATCACCTCAATGTTGTAGCATTCATGTTGCATACAAATGATGTCACGGGACGTTGAGCCGTGTTAATATAACAACCCCCCGTACACATTAGATAGTACTCGACTGTAATGGAAAATGACTTGAGCCCAGTAGTACCGCCTCTTGTCGCATTGAGCCGAGTAGGTAATAATGGAAAAAATGCTTACTTCTCTAGAATTTAGTTGCTCTTCTCCATCCTTGATGTTACATGGAAGCCTGATTATCACCACATTTTTCTTCCCTTGCACTACTTTTAAGTCACATATTCAACTTTACCATGATGTTTACTCAGTTATGTTAATAATTTATTTTAACCAAAAGTCAAAAGATTGAAAACCTTATTAGCAGTAGAAGACACAGAATATGAAACTTCCCAACTCTGCAGTCTTCTGTAAGCTCAACAACTTTGAACTATGAAGGCACAACTGTCCAAGAGCAGCATTGGAAACCTCAGAACACATTCTCTTACCCACATGCCCATCACCAAGAAATGCAAAAGTATCTGACCAGAGTTTCACATGGACTCCCACAGTCTGCACTTTCAGCTGGCTCCAAAGTCAGGCCACATTTTCAATCACTCTCTGACCACAAGCACACTGTTCACTTTTGCAGATGACAACAATGCAGCAGCCCTCAGCTCTAAAAATATAATTACTCTGCCTAATCACCGGAGTATCGCCTTTCTGTCAAATATCATGACAACATCAAGCCAAGGCATAAGGAAAAATGTTATTCTCGCAGAAATGACAAAGCTCATCCTTTTACCATTCAGACTGCTCAGACAATACATCTAAGGCCTCATCAATCCAGTCCTGTTTATATATAGTCTCCTGCTTTCAGTGTTCACTTTCAGATATTGTGTCCATTCATACCCGAACTATATGGCACCAAACTACTACCTGAAGAAGTTGAGTGCACACTCATTGACTTTTCTCCCTTCCTCTAGGCACTTCCGGGGATCCTTCTCCTCCCAACGGCAGAGCATGAACTCTTTGTTGGGTTTGTCACATTGGGAGCCATAATGGTGGGCAGCAGCCTTCAGTACCGAAGAGGACACTTTTATCTGCACAGATAGCAACACATGGAAGACAATTAGAATGAAAAAGGAACATAACTACCAGAGACACTAACAAATAACAATTATGCAATTGGTGTTTTCATGAGACACACTTTAGTTCACTTCAATTTTATGTATATAGCACCAATTAAACAACAGTGTATATTAAGGTAGCACTTAGTACTAGTTTTATTTTGGTATATCAACAAGAAACATAAGACAGACCACAGTGAAGCCAAAGTTTATTTGCAATGTCTCTCTCTAGATGGGCTGTGTTTAAAAAACACAAACAAAAACCTGGATGCAGTGCCCAGTAGGAATTGTAAATGAACCTTGTATTGATCAGTTAATAAAGAGAAAACAGCATGATATGACATAAAGAAAGAGCTGTGTTGCTACTTTAATATTCCCATTACAACTGCCTTGTAGTGATTAGAGATGGCACGATACCACTTTTTTATGTCCGATACCGATACCGATATCATAAATTTGAATATCTGCCGATACCGATATGAATCCGATATAGTGTGTTTTTTAATCAATAAAAGTTTTTTTTTAATATCTTGCTGCATTTTGTATAAGTTTATACTCAAGTTTAAATAAATAACAACACTAAAGCTATTCTGTTATACCTGTATGTAAAAAATACACTGC